TATTTCAGTTACTTTTATTGTAATGTCCCTTATCTCATTTCTTATGTGGGTTATTTGCCTCCTATCCTGCTTTTCTTTTGTCATTTTGGCCAGTGGTTTGTCGATTTTGCTCATCTTTTCAAAGAACCAACTTTTGGTCTTGTTGATTCTTTCAATTGTTTTTCTACTCTCAATCTTATTTATTTCTGCTCTAATATTTATTATTTCTTTTCTTCTGGTGACTGTGGGCTTCTTTTGCTCTTCTTTACTTGTTCGAGTTGTAGGGTTAATGTTTTGATTTTGGCCCCTTCTTCTTTTTTGATGTGTGTGCTTATTGTTATAAATTGACCTCTGAGCACTGCTTTTGCTGTGCTCCAAAGGTTTTGGTAAGATGTGTTTTCATTCTCATTTGATTCTAAGAATTTTTTTTATTCTCAATGGTTTTTAACCAAGGTGTTATTCAGTTTTCATATATTTGATTTTTTTCCTTGCTCTTCCTGTTACTGATTTCCACTTTAATAGTGTTCTAATCAGGGAAAGTGCTTTGTATTATTTTTGCATTTTGGATTTTTTTAAGGCTTGCTTTTTGGCCTAAAATATGGTCTATTCTAGACAATGTTTCATGTGTGTTGAAAGAATATGTAATTTGCTGTTGTTGGGTGGCGTGTTCTGTATATGTCTGTGAGGTCGAGTGGGTTGATTGTGGCCTTTAGATCTTCTGTATCTTTGTTGAGTTTCATTCTAGATTCTCTGTCCTTCACCAAAAGTGTTGTGTTGAAGTCTCCTACTATTATTGTGGAACTGTCTTTTCAATGCCGTTAGAGTTTTCTGTATTTTGGAGCCCTGTCATTGGGTGGATGTATATTTATTATAGTTACATCCTCCTGGTGGATTGACCCTTTAATCAGCATATAATGTCCTTCCTTATCTTTTACGGTGGATTTTGCCTTACAGTCTGTTTTATCAGGGATTAATATTGCTACTCCTCCTCTTTTTTGGTTATACACATTATGTGTGTATATTTATTTATTTGTTTGTTTTTATTTTTTGCCAACCAACAATATCTTAACTCTGGTGTTTATATTTTTCAAGCCATGTCCTTTAATGGTAAACTTTCCCCCAATATGTACACCTTCAAGTTACTGTCAAGTGTCCTTATTTTCCCTTCTGGAGGACACTCTATTTCATTTCTTGTAGGGCTGGTCTGGTGGTAACAGATTCCTTCAGCTTTTGCTTATCTGGGAGAATCTTAAATTCACCGTCATTTTTGAACAACAGTTTTGCGAGATATGGTATTCTTGAATGACAGTTCTTTACTTTCAACAGTTTAAATAGGTAATTCTTCTTGCCTGCATGGATTCTGCAGAGGAATTGACATTGAATATTATTGAAGACCTCTTGTACATGATACTTGATTTCTCTCATGCTGCTCTAAAAATTTTCTCTTTGTCCTTGGTTTTCGAAAATTTGGTTGTAATATGCCTTGGTGTGGCTCTGTTTAGATTTATCCTACTTGAAGTTCATTGAGCGTCTTGTATATATAAGTTATCTTTCATCATATATGGGAATTTTTCATCATTATACTTTTGAAAATTCTCTCTGTACCTTTCATTCTCTCTTCTTCTGGGCCTCCCATAATGCATTTATTGTTCCACTTGACAGTGTCCCACAGATCCCTTAGATTTTGCTCATTTTTCTTCATTCCTTTTCTTTTTGCTCCTCAGGTTGAACAATCTCAATTGCCCAACCTTCGAGTTCACTGATCCTTTCTTGCGCCATTTCAAATCTGCACCTAAGCCCTTCCAGAGAATTGTTCATTTCTGTTATTGTAATTTTTGGCTCCAGTATTCTTCTTTTTTTTTTTAATTTCTATCTCTTTATTGAAATTCTTGTTTTCTTCTTGGATAGTTTTCCTGATCCATTAGTTCTTTTTCTGTTGTTAACTCTCTGAGCATGCTTAATACCACTGCTTTAATGTTTTTGTCTAATAATACCTTTAGCTCTCCTTATTTGGGGTGGTTTCTGTCACCTTATTTTGGTCTTTTTCATGGGTCATTCTTTCCTGCCTCTTCATATGTTTTTTTATTGTTGGTTGTAATCAGGTCATTAAAGTATTTTACAGTGGTAACTCTGTAGATTAGATTCTTCCCCTTCTTTAAGGTTTGCTCTTCTTCTTTGTTATTGTTATTATTGTTTTAAATTATTGAAGGTTGTACTTTTCTGCCAGGAGGTGTGTGTGAATGCTCAAGCCTGAGGCTGCAACCCATTGTGACCTAGCTTGGATGGCTAGGGATGAGCTGACCAGAACCAGAACAAATGAAGAGAAAGATGTTTGACACTGTGAGCTGGTGTAGATTGCTGCAATTTGATGGCTTGCTCTGGACTGGACTTTGCTTATGGAGGCAGATGTTAAAAGTCCTAACTGGAACAGAAGATTCTTCAAGACCAAGGAACATGCTTGTCTCCTCAGAGTACTGGTTGGATAGGGATGGGCAATTTAAACATTCACTGTCGAAAACAGGGCATGCCTGCATGGCTGTTAAGAGTCTGTCCTGATGAAAGAACTGTATCCTTGAGTGTTCCTGAGCCTGAATTGTAACTTGTTACTTCCCTAATAAACTCCATAATTGTGAGTATGGTCTGTGAGTTCTGTGTGGCCACTGCAATGAATTATCGAACCCAGCAGAGAAGTAAAGAGTGCTGTGGGAAGAACGGTTGGTGTCAGAGTTGGTAAAGATGGTGGAGAGAGGAGGCTTGTATGACCTCCGCCTCATAAGAATCAGCCTTGGGCTGTTGATCTTGGTTCTTCTTCCCACTTGTGGGGTTGGAGGAGGTCAGATACTGCCCCCATTTCACTTTTACACTTGGCTTCTTAGTTGCCTTCACTGGGGCCTGGTTGTTCACAAAGTCCAAGCTGCATCGAGCTCCATAAGCTGTTTCTTTCCTGGACCTATATGGCCCCAGGCCTCCAGCATGCCACAGCACCGATTCTTGGGTTTGCCCTGCTCAGTCGTCCTTGCCTAAGCTGCATTCCCTGGGCCTGGTTGTTCACAAAGTCCAGGCCTCACTGCACTCTGCACACTGCTCCCTCCCAGGACTCACATAGTCTCAGACTTCTGGTGCACTGAAGAGCCCTTCATTAAGTCTGTGTGCAGAGGCTTCACCAGGGCTTGGCCGTTTGCAAACTCTGGGACTCATTTCACTCTTCACACCGTTCCCTCCTGGGATCCACATAGCCCCAGGCTTGCGGTGCACCAAATTACCCTTTCTTGGGTCGGCATGCTCAGGCTTCTCTGCCCAGGTGTCTTCACCAAAGCCTGGCTGTTTGCAAACTCCGGGCCTCACTGTGCTCTGCACCAGTTGCCACTGCCCCTAGATGTCCATGCTGTGTTTGGGAGGAGAGTGCAGTGAGGACACTGTGAGTCTCCACTCTTCTGTGGTCAGTAGGTTACCTTTTACTTGATTCAGTGTTCCCTCTGGTCCTCCAACTCTTTATCTGATGTTCAGAGTTCTGAGATAAACAATTTTTACCAATATTTGCTTGTTTTCTTATATGATAGTTGTGGGGGTTCAGGGTGTGCAACCACTTACGGTGCCATCTTGCTCTGTCTACCTCTGAGCTTCTTAATTAAAAAACTGAGATGGATCAAATGAGACACATGTAAAGTATTTAATATCACTGTTATTGTTGCAGAACAACTCTCTAAGAACTTATAAACTCCCCTAGAGGGCTTTTATGGAGTAAATATGGCATCCCTGAGAAAGAGTGTAGCTATTTCATAATAGCAAAAGGGTCAAATCATCAGAAAGACATAACAAAACAGATGAATCTCAAAACTATTATGGTAAGCAAAAGAAGTCAGACATAAAACAATACATATTGTATAATTTCATTTATACAAAGTTCAAGAACAACCAAAACTAATTTACGGTGAGAGAAGTCAGAACAGTGGTTTTATCTTAAACAGGGATGATGTATTGACTGGAAAGGGATAAAAGGGAAATTTGGGGATGATAGAAATTTCCATATCTTGATCTGTGTGATAGTTACACAACTGTATACATATATTAAAATTTATCAATCTGTACACTTAAGATTTTTGCAGTTTATACCTCAATAAAGTACCACTAGCATGAAAATAACTACTTGATAATCTTACTTCATCATACTTTGAAATATAAACAGTCCATTCCAGTAAGACTTGTATCCTATCTTCATCCTCATTTACTCAATCAAAATTTTCTCATCTAGATCTCTTGCCTGGAATCCCCTTCTTCCTGCTTTCTAACAGTATGGACTCCATATACTTTTAAAGGCTTGTCTCCTACCGGAAAGCTTTTTCAACTACTCTCACCAACCCTGATATTCCCCTTTTCTGCATGCCCTTCTACATACTTCAGATAAGTATCACACAGTTTATCACTTATTTTTCCAAAATTGTTTCAATTGTACTACTGGTATTATCTTTCAAACGTAAGCTCCTTAAAGGCAAAGGCCACATTTTATACCTCTCTTTTATTCTCTATCTATCACAATGCTAGTTACGTAGTCTAGGCACTCAGTTAAGTTTTAATTCACTTACTTCAGAGATGGATATTCCCCCCAAAATCCATTTTGCTGTGGCATGCTTGAAATAAACTTTATATCAGATTTATTTGCATGATCATATTTTGCTTGATTAAGTATTAAAATTAGCTTCCATACACAAGCATGTTCTATCTGGGTGGCTGGGAAAAACCTGGAATTTCTTAATTTGCAATAATAAAAGCTAAAAGTTATATAGCCATACATTGTTCCAAGCACTTTACATATATTAACTTACGGGTATAATCCTGTGTGGTAGATACTATTGGTAGTATATCAATTTTACAGATGAGGAAACGAATGCATTGATAAGTTAAATGACATGCCCAACGGATAATCTACTCATAAATGGAGGAGTAGACTATCCTAATTTTATAATAATAATATTATATGTATTTCTTCAATCTACTTCTGAAATATTTAACATGATCCTTACCAGCATTTCTGGCCCAATAGAGTTCTTATCCATCTTCCCAATATCATAGCTTTGGCTATCATTAAAAAAGAAAAAAAGAATATGTATGTATACATTCATTTCAATTACATATGATTTTTCAAGTTTATGTATTACTGAGAAGACGTGGTATAATTTCACTTTACTCCAACTTTTTCTATTTTGCACAACAGATCATCAGTGAATTACTACATGAAAATCAGTTGTATAAACTAATACTTTCTAACTGTGGAAAACTCCAATTTCCTCAGGAGGTATCCAATGAATCAATGCTATTATTATATTAATACTCTTTTCCATTTGGTTATATATATACAGTATTAAAATAGTTTACATGTATACACAAGCTCTTAATGGGTGCATTTTAAAGTCTACCTGTACCCATTGTGGTGGAGTCAATTCTGACTCACAAGTGACCCTATAAAGTCTAGGAAACATAAATTTTTTTAAATAAAAAAAATATAGCTGTTTTCACAGAAAATGAATGCTTTAGCAATATTCACTAAGCCTCACAACACCCTTGTGAAGCACTATTAGTTTCACTTTGCAGCTGAATGAACCAACTTAGCAGTTAAATGATTTTAATATTTCCTAAATTGATATTGAAAATGAAAGTTGGGGAATACAGAAATTTGACATTCATTTCTGTGCTTTAATTACCTAACTATATTATCTATGGAATATTCTGGTCACCACAAATAATATATTAATATGTCTTGGGGTTTCAAAACCTAAAATTTAACAAGCAAAACAAAGATCATTCACCATAAAATGGGTAGGTAGAATGTCAATAAAATTTTGGTGAACTGAACTAAATTAAAGATGTATTTAGTTGATGTATTTCTTTTTAAAAAATTAACTCTCAAATATCCAACCAAGAATTACCAAACTTTGGGCTTTCAGCTTTCTGCCAAGGATATAATGCTTTGGCTATGACATATTTGAAATTAACTTTGTATCAGACTTATTTGCATGACCATATTTTGCTTGATTAAGGTGGTATGAATGATTTAACCTTGGCTACTAACCTAAAGGTTGGTGGTTCGAACCCACCCAGCAGTACCGCAGAAGAAAAGATCTGATGATCTGCTTCCATTAAGATTACAGCCAAGAAAACCTTACAGAACAGTTGTACTCTGTAACACGTAGGGTCGCCATGCGTCGGAATTGACTCAACAGCAACTAACAACAACAGTCATTTTAAGCCCTACCTAATACAAGTTCACTTTGGTACACTGAAACTTCTACTTCCAGCTTTTAAAATAACCGAACAGGAGTGGGACTTCTGGAATATAAAGAGCTCAGTGGATCCTCTTCCCAGTGAAAACAACCATTTAACAGGTTAAACAAATCATTAAAACAAACAACCATTTAAAGTTTCTGGTAATTGTCTTGAGGACATACAGCGAATGGGGTAACATTTATTCAAGAAAATTGACTAAATATCAGTAAGAACACTTAGAGTCTGTGGAATTTGTGCTATGACCTGCTCTCATCCACACCAACTCCGCACGAGAGAAACTCTGCTCTAGAGAATTGCAGCCAATCAGATACGAACTCCTTCCCCGAGAAGTCCTATGCTACTGTTTCACCTTGGGAGGGGCAGGCTGCCTGGCATTGTGGAAGCACTATTTTGGAAAGGCACAACTGAGAGTACTGGGACTCCCTTTCCCCACCCAGTTCTCAATCGTAGAGTAAGAACTCTAACCCAAGCATGACAAATCAAAAATATTGGAACCTGGACCACATTCACCTCAGTTTGTCCATAGGGAAGAAGTTTCATGTCAAGAGGGGCAAGCTGAGATTAGGGTCTATCATCCCCAACAGCACCCACACTTATAGTAGTTGTCACTTTGGTAGAAGCATGCCACACTCCCTCCCCCAGTTCCAGTGCAGAAGCACAGAGGTTGTGCCGCAGGGGAGAAGCAGGCCATAAAGACAAAGAGCTCTGCATGTCTGTCTGAGGGGACTGATTTTATCTGGACAGGAGCAGGAAGCAGTTCTTGCCCAAAGGCATTGTCAAAAGCAATAGAAATCCTGATGGTGAGCAATTAAGAGGAACTGGTAGTTCCATGGTAATAGTAGCAACAAGTGAAAGAACAGAACAGTTAGAAGTTTAACAAAGAGAACCAGAGAAAGAGACAGCCAAAATGAGCCATCCCAGGATCACACTCATCCCTGAGGGTCCATAAGGGTGTGCAAATACACTAGGCTGCAACCACTTGGGAGCAATCAGAGCAAGATGTGGGACAGACGAAAAAGCATTCTTCAAGGCATACACAGATGCAACAGAAGAGCCTTCAGCCTTACTGGTTCATGGAGCTTAAGTAGAACCTCTGATCAAACACTGACTGAAAAATAAACTACTCTGACCTGGAGGTGAAGTTTTAAAAACCAGATTTCAGAATAAAATCCCACTTATCCCCAGTGGTCCGGGAGACTGTGTGCATGCCCAAGGCTGTGCCCTCTCAGAAGAACCAGAGAGAGAACATCCAAGTTACTAGTCCCTGACTGAATGTGGGGCAAAATCATAAACTCTTGACCTGTGAAAACAGTCTCTAAGCCACACACACACCCAACAGGACAGGGTGAAAATATAACTGGCTAACTGGGCTGGCATAGTGGTTAAAAGTTATGGCTGCTAACCAAAAGGTCGGCAGTTCAAATCCACCAGGCACTCCTTGGAAACCCTATGCAGCAGTTCTACTCTGTCCTATAGGGTTGCTATGAGTTGGAATCAACTCAACGGCATTTGGTTTGGTTTGGTTTTTCTTAACTGGGCTTAAGCACAATCTTGAGCCAACAAGTAGTTTATGCAAATGCAGAGGTTACTGCTCGGAAGCTACTAAAAAATAAAAACAAGGGGAAAAATCTGAGCAGGAACATTAAAATTTGTACACTGCAGGGAAAATGGACTCCACAGAATTACTCCAGCCAAGTGACTAAACAAATAAATGAGCAAACAAGCAATAAAAACAATAAGGTCCACGTGGAAGAGAGGAACCAGTATCCAGAGTTGTTAAAATATATTACCTAAAATTTCTAGTTTTCAACAAAATATTATAAGACATTCAATGGAACATGTGTGACCCATTCAGACAGAAAAAGGGGCACTAGAAACTGCCTTTGGGGGGCTCAGATGTTGAACTTAGTAGAAAAAGACTTCAAAGCAATTATTAAAACATGTTCAAAGAGATAAAAGAAACTATGGTTAAAGAATTAAAGGAAGGTAAAATAAAAATATCTCATCAAATAGAAAATAGGAGTATATCAATTAAAGTTAAAAATTATAAAAAAGAACCAAATGGAAATTTTAAAGTTGAAAAGTACAATAATTGAAATGAAAAATTCACTAGAAGGTTTCAACATTAAAACTGAGCAGGCAGAAGAAAGAATAAGCGAACTGGAATATAAATCAATAGAGATTATGCAATCTGAAGAACACAGAGAAAAAAGTATGAAGAAGTGACATCAGCAAAATAACAAGACAACTCCAAATACCTGTCCATCCACAGAAATATCAAAAAAACAAGAAGACTGTGGAGACCACGGTCTCAGGGAACAGCTAGCTCAATTGGCATAACATAGTTTATAAAGAAATCGTTCTACATTCTACTTTGGTGAGTAGCGTATGGGGTCTTAAAAACCTGTGAGCGACCATCTAAGATACTCCACTGATCTCACCTCTTCAGGAGCAAGGGAAAATGAAGAAAACTAAAGACACAAGGGAAAGATTAGTCCAAAGGACTAATAGACCACAACTGCCACAGCCTCCACCATACTGAATCCAGTACAACTAGATGGTGCTTGGCTACCACCACTGACTGCTCTGACAGGGATCACAACAGAGGGTCCCTGACAGAGCTGGAGAAAAATGTAGAACAAAATTCTAACTCACAAAGAAAGACCAGACTTACAGGCCTGACAGAGACTGGAGAAACCCTGAGAGTATGGCCCCTGGACATTCTATTAGCTCAGTAATGAAGCCACTCCTGAGGTTCATCTTTTAGCCAAAGATTAGACAGGCCCATAGGACAAAATGAGACTAAAGGGGCACACCCACCCAAGGGCAAGGACTAGAAGGTAGGAGGGGACAGGAAAGCTAGTAATAGGGAACCCAAGGTCGAGAAGGGAGAGTATTGACATGTAATGGGGTTGTTAACCAATGTCATAAAACAATATGTGAAATAATGAGAATCTAGTTTGTTCTGTAAGCCTTCCTCTAAAGTACAATTTAGAAAAAAGCAGAAACTATTAGAATCAACTTTGTCAGAACTCTGGAAAACAGTCAAAGGTTTACAGCAATCAAACGAATGATGAACCAAAAAAAAAAAAATGCTCTTGCTGTTCAGGGACATGTCTGTTAAAACACTGGCTAAACACAAGATAAAAAAACAGAGACTTCAGTAACCACTCAGGACAGGGAATACAGGCTTTCCAAAGATAACTTGAAAAGGCCACAAAACAAACAGATGACTACAGGCTTCAATAATCAAGAACAACAAACCTTGAGGAAAAGAAAAAATCTAATTTCCAGAGTCTCTACATATTAATATTCAAATTTTCACTTTTCAACAACAACAAAAAAAACCACAAAGCATAAAAATAAGAGAAAAGTATGGTCTATTCTAAATAAATAAATATGTTGACAGAACCTGTCACTGAAGACCAGACATTGGACTTACTAGACAAAGACTTCAAGTGCCTTAATTATGCTTAAAGAGCTAAAGGAGCCATGAACAAAGAAATAAAGGAAATGAAGAAAATTAGAATATCAGTAAAGAGGTAGACATTATATAAAAAAGAACTAAATAAAAATACTGGATATAAAAAGTACAATAACTGAAATGAAATTTTCAGTAGAGGGGTTGAGCAGCAGATTTGAGCGAGCAGAAGAGAGAAGCAGTGAACTTCTATATAGGACAACTGAAACTATCTGGTCTGAGGAGCACAAAGGATAAAGAATGAAGAAAAAGTGAACAGAGCTTAAGAGACATGTGGGACACTATCAGGCAGTCTAAGATATGCATTGTGGGT